TGGAATTGGGGTGCTCTGTCGTTGGCTGCCTTGTCGTTTGTTTTCTTATCCCTCTTAAAAAAAAAGAAAAAAATGAAAGCAGGAGGGGGTGGAGTCCTGATTTTTTTCCAGGGCCATTACCATGATGGGGAGGACCAGAGAAGTAATGGCACTTGTGTCTGATTCTTTCAAAGGAAATGTAGGTCACATTGAGAATTGCAGAGCACTGCCATCCCCGCCTGGGGATCGTGGGTCAGGTGTGCAGCTCTCGTCTGCTGCTTGGATGTTTTCCCCGCTGACTTTCTTACCACATCTGCTAGCTGACAAACAGACTTGGCTTTTTCTTTAAAAAAAAAAAAAAAAAATTAAAAAAAAAATAGAAAAGCACAGCACGTTATATTTAGCCACAAGCTCACGGAGCGCCCGGCACTAGCCGGGTTTCCTTGGATAACTGGGGCTGGAGCTCACAAATGCCTGCCAGTGTTTCCTGGCCGCCAGCTCGCGGACGCCTGCTCCGTGTTAACCCTGCACAGTGCCACTTCCCCGATGCCCTGCTCACAGAGCAGAGTGGCACAGCTCACATGACGAACGCCGCCAGAGGTAGCCGGCTCTGAGAGCAGCCCCAGTCTACGCACAGTTGGTTCCCAGCTGACAGACAGAATATGGGGTGGGCTTTGTCACCAGCGCGCTGGGTCTGGCATGCCCAGCGATGCTCCGGGCTGCACAGTGCCCAGACACCCGCCACCGCTCCCCGGGTCCCAGCCGCGCCAGCTCCGAGGGGCCGGGCTGCGCGCCTAGCCTTCCTCCCCGCCGAGAAGGTTATATAATGAGCGGACCGTTGCCAAAGTCAGAGGGAAAATGAAGTCTTTGTTAAATGCCTTCACCAAGAAGGAAGGTAAGGAGGAAGCTACAGGGAGCGTGGGGCACAATGAGCGGCTTCTTACTGCTTCTGGGGGGAGAGGGGAATCTGGTCCTCCTAAAATTGCAGGCTGTTAAGTCTTTGTCATGCAAGGGATAATTACTTCTGGTTCGTGATGCGGTTTGGCTTTAATTGGTCTGGAAGATTAAGGTGGTTGAAGGTACCTTTTTATTTGATTGTGTTCGGAAGCCTGCAGCCCCTTGCAAAATTGCATTCCAGAATGTCCACCCATGGACACGGTGCCAGAGGGCACATTAGGAACGGAGTCCTAGGAAAATAAAGCAAGTTTTGAGTGCAGTCTGCCTGTCACCTGGAGGGCTGCGAGCACCTGCTAAGGAAGGTCAGGCACATGGCCGGCTGTACTGAATGGGTGGATGTTCCCAGAGCCACTTCCCAGCTCTGCGCGGCTGTCCCAGGGTTGGGATTTCACGGAGTGGACGGAGAATGCAGTGTGGCAGACTTTAAAAGTGCATACGCTCTTTGTCATACCTTGTGCGATTTTTTTATTGTGGGGAAGAATGTATAAATAAATGCATGGAAGACAGCTAAGAAAATATCCACCCACCTAGACTTTGCAGATTGCCTGAAAGAAGGAAACAGTTGGGTGGAATATTAATCAGGTTCAGACAGGAAAAGAGTTATTTTTAACCCTTTTCACAAAACTCATCATCGCTATGGACAGTTCCAGACAGTCCTGTCAGACGGGGAGCTCTCTTTTTTATGAGATCAGAAGGTTTCTAAAGAGCTCACTTTTAAGAAATTAGAAAGATGCTCCCCAGCCCAAGCTCGTCATAAAATAACTGCCAAAGACATTTCAGTGCTCTGGAAGCTAACTTAATATGAGTGCTGGTAATTAAGTGAGGTAATTTTCATTAAAATGCTCTCCCTAATGTCACCTATGTGATTCCATCTGAGTAACTTGCCTGGTCTTTGGGGGACCAAAGACCAGGCAAGTTACTCAGATGGAATCATACATATATATATGACTGGTTCAGCTATTTTCTTCCTTGATGGTCCAAGGGTGGCCTTCCCACATGAGCACTTTCCGGTCCCCGAGGCCACACTGCACACCTGCTCAGGGAAGGAGGTAAAACAGTCTTTGCCTGGATTCTTAAATTCATCATGTGTAACTTCAATTGTTACCACCTGTGAGGGGCGTTGAGGGTTTCAGCTGGGGGTTGCGGTGTTCCGTTAATTCTGTGTCTGCTTCATTCTTCCCTGGATCTTTCTCTCTTAATGAGTTGATCTTAGCAGCGAGCTCTGCCACTTTCCTACTGAGAGCATCACCACCCCACTCATTATGTGGTCAGGCACAGATCTGCCTGTAGTGTCCCTGATGGTCAGCTGGGCAGAACCCTCGTACAGGGTATCAGTGTATCCTGGTCTCAAGGCCTCGTGGTGCCCTCCACATGCTTAGGAAGGGCCCTGGCCTCGCCCAGGGGTGCTCCTGGGAGCCCAGGGGCTGTGAAACCACTTTTCTATGATCCATACCTGCTGGAGATTTGGGGTTTCAAATCTTCAGAGCCCCCCAGTCCCTAATCTCAGCAGATGACAGACAGATCTTGCTCTCTGAGCTTGTGGGATCGTCTGCCCTTCTGAGGTCTTTTCATCCCCCTGTGTCCAGCAGTCCTGAGACCACCATCCCCACCAGCTCCCACTGCCAGTTGTACTTGTCAGAGCCTTGATGGCGTACACTCAGTGCTTCTTCAAGGTTTTCAAGCTCAGAGGGAGGGACGCCAGTGTGGTTTAATCCCATGCCCAGCAGAGTGCACACCCGGTGGCCTGACCTGACCTGGCCTGGTACACAGCTCTCCTTGTAGGTGGGCAGCTGTGGCTGTGGGCCCACCCCTGTCACAGTGCAGCATCTTGGCTCTGGGGAGGACACCACCACCTTTGCAGGTCCGTGTCTATTCCCTGCCAGCCACCCTTATGATTCATTCCCTTGAGAATCAGGAGTGGGTTTGAAGTCGCTGCACAGCCCAGCTGCCCGGTGTGGGTCTTCCTCCCACCAAAGGGCTCCCAGAGGAAGCAGAGTGGATGAGGTGTGCTGCTACCCACTTGGAAGGACAAGGACCTCCTTGGGGGGCCACCTCACTCCTCACCTGCACAGGAACCAGAACAGAGATCCAAGCGTGTGTCCCCAGGAGGTCTCTGCCACTATCTGCCATTTCCAGCTTGGCCTCCAACTCTGTTTTCCTGGCTCTGGCCTGCATCCAAGACAGTTGAAAGAGGCTTTTTCAGGACTACCTTTGTCCCCTGTGAACTCTACCAGGGTCACCTCTGTCCCCTGTGAACTCTGCCAAGGCCAACTCTAGTCCCTGTGAGCACTGCCAGGGCCACCTCTGTCCTCTCAGCTCTGCAAGGGCCACCTCTGATCCCTTTGAGCTCTTCAAGGCCACCTCTGTCCCCACGAGGTCTACCAAGGCCCTTCTGTCCTCTGTGAGCTCTTCCAGGGATACCTCTGTCCCCTATGAACTCTCCCAGGGCCACCTCTGTCTCCTTTGAGCACTGTAAGGCCACCTCTGGCCCTGCAAGGTGTGCCAGGGCCACTTCTGTTCTCTGTGAGCTCTGCCAGGGCTATAAGCACTGCCAGGGCCTCCTCTGTCCCCATAAGGCCTGTCAGTCAGTGCCAACTTTTCTCCAGCACTGCCTCTGTCCCTTGGACCTACTGTCCAGATGGGAGTGGTCTGGTCTGTGGTGGTACTCACACCTTTGGTTTCTGTTTGTTGCCTCACAGTAGCCTCTGACTTCAGGCAGCCAGGACGGTAGACTGTCCAGAACTGTGTCCTAAACTCTGGGTGACATATTTACTTCTCCTTCAAGACATCAAGGTCCTTCCCCAGATCAGCTCCCCTGGAGGACAGGAGTTTTCTCTTGCTTTGAAGCTTACTGTTTGCATAACACAGCCTCACCTTGCTTTTGAGCCAAGGGGGCAGAAATTCCGCCAAATGGAAAAGCTGCCTTGGGTGTTTGGCCTTCAGTGACTGGTGGTATCTGCTGTCCCCTGTAGTCTACAGGGCTATACCTCAGAGGGTCTGTCATTGAAAGGCTACCTTCTGTTTCCGGTCCAGCCTGCCAGGCACCCAGGGCATAGCAGTGTGAAGGCAGACCCTCACAGGGCCTGAGGGCCTTTGTCCTCATCTGAGTTCCCTGATACATAGACTCAGGAGTATGAGAGCTGGCCAATGTCTAGAACTTCCGGGGAAGCCACTGAGGTGGGGCCACCTGCTGCCATCACACAAGGCTGGGCATGGCGTGAGGCGACCAGGAGGGAGAATTCTGAGGAAGCAATGGGCTCACTCTGCCTGAGACTTGGAGACTGGGTTTGCTGCTAGGGCGGCTATAACATCCAGAGGCTTTATGTGACTCATAAACAGCAGACATTTATCATCTCACATCCGGGGCTGAAGCCAGAGATCGGGGTGTCACAGCCTGGCTCCTTCTGAGCCTTTCTCTGTGGTGTTTTCCCGTGTCCTCACATGGTCGCCTCCATGTGTCTGTGTTCTGATCTGTTCTTCTTATCTGGGCCCGTCAGATTGGCTTGAATCCACCCTACAGGCTCATTTTATAACCCAAGTACTTCAGCAGAGGCCTGTCTGAATACAATCGCACTCTGAGGTCCTGAGGTCAGACCTTAGCATGTGGGTTTCAGGGTACCCAGTCCTCTGCTCATCACAGAGGCCAAGAGCAGACCCTTAGCAGGAGGTGTTCCGCAGCAGCTCAGCGTCTTAACTGCTTTGTGAGATGGGGTGGCCCATCCTTACACGTGTCAAGCCAGCTGGCGGTGTCTTCCCAGGCTGTGGAAGGCATGAGTGCAGGCTGGATGGAAGCTGAGACCCTTAGTCTCTTCCATCCCGGGGCTTGGCTTGAGATTCACGTGATGGAGCCGTGTCCATCTCTATTGTTTCTGTGCTTCCGTGTTGGGGAGGGGGATGGGTCTGGGCCTTGGGGTGCCCGGTTACACATTTTGCACAGAACCCCAGCTCCCTGTCCCCAACTCGCACAGGGAGCTTGGATGCACACAGGCCCAGCCTTCTCAGTGGCCCTGCCTCTGGGTGCCCTCGTTCACTCACCTCTCTCCCCTTCGTTCTCTCCCTCCCAGTGCCCTTTCGAGAGGCTCCGGCCTACTCCAACCGCAGGCGGCGTCTCCCCAACACGCTGGCCGCCCCCCGGGTCCTGCTGCGTTCCAACAGCGACAACAACCTCCATGCCGGTCCACCAGAATGGGCTGTCTGCTCTACAGCCACCTCCCACCGCAGCCTCTCCCCGCAGCTGCTGCAGCAGACGCCCAGCAAGCCTGATGGCGCCGTGAAGAGCTTGGGGACCTATGCTCCTGGGCCCCGCAGCCGCTCCCCCTCGCTCAACAGGCTGGGTGGCGCCGGCGAGGATGGCAAGAGGCCCCAGCAGCACTGGCACATAGGGTAAGGAGGAAGCGGGCAGGGGTCCTTTTTCCGCCAGCTTAGGCTGCCCTGCAGCAGCCCACGATGTGCCCACCTCCCCTACAAAGAGCCTCCTTGGGCCTGGGGTCATCCTGAAGCTGGAGCCCACAGGGGCAGTTCTGATGGATCGGACAGATGGGTGGCTAGATCACTGCTGTGAAGGGCTGTGACTTTTCCTTGCACATTGACCTCTTGGTCCTCTAAGTGCAATGGCAAGAGGGGAGCAAGGCCAGGCCACGAGCATGGCTTGTGCTTGCTGGCCTGTTGGTGTACTGCATCCATACAAGTGCTCACAGTAAGAACAATGGGGAACCCTGACACCGACGAGGAAACCGAGGCTCAGAGAGGCCACATCACGGCACAAGGGACCAACCTGTCCCCAGTAGCCACAGCAATGGCCTCAGCCAGTCTTAGCTGGTGCTGCAGAGTGGAAGCTGTATCTGCCCAGCGTGGCAGGTTCACATGGAGGTTCAACTGTCTCTAAAGCAGCCCCAAGTAACAGTAGCCCCAGGACAGGCCAGCCTCAGGCAAGTTGATGGGCCACCCAGGGTCTCTTGGGCAGGACTCCCTTGGGGTGTCTGGCTCCCAATCCTCCACCTGACAGCCGGGTGCTAGATTCGCACTCCCAGCCCCAACTACCAAGCCTGCCTCCACCTAGTCACTCTGCCTTCCTTAGTTTCTCAGGCAAAAAAGGGACTTCGGGAATTTGGCTTGTGGCTGGGTTTCCAGGGCCAAGTTTGGTGGCCATCTGAGCAATTCAGGGGCAGTGGTGATAGTGACCGCTGTGGCCAGTACCTGCAGGCTCTCACACATATAGCCCAGGTTTAGGCCCAGTGCCAGGGTCTCATCTGTGGCCACGCAGCCAGTGAGCTGGGTTTCCCAGCTGGCGCCATGTTCTTGGTGAAACTGGAAACCCCCTGTATCCACACTCTGTGCTTCCACCACACTGCACCTTCCTTGTGGCCTCCGAAACCATCGGGTCACCGGCTTGGCCCAGTGAGCCTTGCTGGCCAGGTCATGCCCTGACACCAACTATGATCAGGGATGTTGGGAAGGAGATACCAATTCATGCCACTGCTGGCTGTGTCCTGCAGCCTTGGTGTGAGTTTGGACAGGGGCTGGTGATGCACGAGGCCCTGGCGGAAGCTGTTGTTCTAACTGTGACCACAAGGCAGGTCTCAGGCTGCTGCTGAGGGGTCTTGAGGGGAGGAGCGTGTTGTGGGAACTCAGGGCTCCCGGAACCTTGGTGGAGTCCAGACCTTACCATTGGACCCAGTGGACCCTCAAACCCACCTCAGCCCTTTACCTGTAGTTCGTGCACACTTCCTGCCTGTAGACAGGAAGAGCACCAGGCCTGTCCTGGTCTAGATTCTGGCTTTGTGCAACCCTGAGGGAGAAGACCCAGGTGCTGGGGACTGCAGGAAGCTAAATTAGAGGCCCCAAAACAGCCAGTTCCACTCCACACCATGGCTGCAATTATGGCAATCATTCTAAAAAGTGCATCCCTTCCCCCAGTAAAAAATCTATTAAGGTGCCAGAAGCAGCGTGGCCAGTGCCTTGCACACACTGCAAACAAAATGTTGCAGAGAAAGTGACAGGGGTGTACTGTCAGGACACTTCTGATTGCCCTGGTTCCTGTGCAGGCATTTGTGTTTGTGTGCCTGTGTGTATGTTTGTGCATTTTTGTATGTACTTATGTGTACCTGTATCTGTGTGTGTGTGTGTGTGTGTGTGTGTGTGTGTGTGAGAGAGAGAGAGAGAGAGAGAGAGACAGAGAGAGACAGAATCACAGTGGCCAGCCTGACCCCCGTGCTTGTTACCTCCTGGCATCTTTCTGTCCTGTATCCCTGAGTTGCTGTGCACCTCTGGGCAATTATTCACCCCACTCTTTGTCGATTCTAAAGTGGGGATCCTGCCAGGACTGACTTCAGGTTGTTCTCAGGGTTAAATGAAGGAATTTAGGACAGCCTCTTAGTATGGTGCCTGGCATTAGTGAGTGCCCAGTCCACGTAAGCTTAGCCCTTTGAGCTTGAATCTATGTCCAGACTCAGCCCAGGGCTCAGCCAGGCCTGTCCCCTTTGCCTACCAGGATTGTTGGGTAGGGGACCTACCCTGCACATGTACCCAGGACATGGGACTTGTCTACAGTCAAGACAGTATGTCCCCCTAACCGTGGCCTGCTGCCTGTCCTGAGTCAGGAAGGCATCGTGACCAGCTGGCTCCTGGCTCTGCCCGATCAGTCTTGGTTTTGTCCCATCCTTCAGCATCTATGTGTCCCATGTCCATCTTCCCAGTACCCAGGCCCTCATGGGTAACAGTGGCTACACCACGAGAGGAGCCCCTCCGTGGGCACTGCTAAGTTGACGTGTCCTTGCCCTAAGACCCACTTCACTGCCATGGAGCACTGCTGCCCCATGGATGTGAGGACCATGATGGGCAATGCCTGCACAGGTGGGAAGGAGCCTCAGAAGCAAATGTGTCCCTGCAGGTATCTCTTCCCCACCCCCACCCCACCCCACTCCCAGAAGAGGGCAGAACTGCCGTGCAGGCGCTGCCTCTGGGTCGGTCCTGTGTCCTGTACAATTGCCACGCATTCTTGGGGGCTGAGACGCCTGTGCCCAGTGGGAGGGTACAGAGTGAAGATCTGTGGCCATGTGAGGAACAGGATGACAGTGGCTGTCCTGCAGGCACCCAGGGTTTGCAGCAGTGTCCTGACCATGCCTGGTCTCAGTGTCCTGCCAGTCAGAGGCAGCTGGGGGCCTGTGGCTGAAGCTGTCAGATTCCTGGCTGCAGCCTGGGCCAAGCGCCTCGTGCCTATGCCCACGTGTGACCTTCACGCAGGAGGGAAGATAGCTGTCCACACTGCCCAGGTGATGGGGGTTGGTCACTGGGCTTTGCATCCCAGCCTGGGGCTTTGGGGGATCCAGGAGGTGACCAGGTCCCTTTGCTGCTTCCTTGCCCTAGAGCTTAGAGCCCAGCTCCATCCCCCATGGGGTGCCCAGCTCTTTTCTGGGGCAGAGAGGCCCCAACTGGGCAGTGCTAGTAGGACACAGGTCAAGGGGGTGCTGGCCTCCAGCTTCCTGGTGGCCCTGCTGCCCACAGTCATTTCTCATCATTATCAGAATGGGGGAGTGAAGTCCAGACCGTTCCCCATTCACTGGAAGAGAAAGCCCTTGACCTCCTTCCCTCTGTGGCATTGCGCCCAGCGCTGCTTCCCCATGCGGTGTGGCTCTGGGCAGATCTAACCGCTTTGTACCTTCATGTTCCCATGGGTGAGGGTCCTGACGGTGTTAGCCTTCCTTGTAGGCTGGGGAGGAGGATCCATGGGATTTTACACCTGACATGCGCTGGATCTGGACCCGGCACGGGGAGTTCCGTGGCAGCATCTGCCCCATTCTGCATTTGTGGACAGTTTTAAAAGATCCCTGGCCGCCGTGGGACAGAGGATAGAGGGCGTCAGGTGCCATCATCCAGTGGTAGACAGTAGCGTGGGCTAAGAGGCAGGAGAAATACAGGTGCCAGGTGGGTGGCAACAGTGTTCTGAACAGGGAGGCGACTGCTGTGGGTTTTGTGGCCCCACACTCCTCACCCCCTGCCTGTGCTCACTGCCCACACAGAGAAGGCCGGCCACTCCCCACCCTACTCCCTAGGGCTGAGCTCATTTGCCTGCCTGCCAACCTGAGACCCACAAAAACCTCAGCAAGAAATGCAGTGGGCACCTCAGGATGGCCGGAACCAGCATTGGGTCTAATGCTCTGAGCAGCCTTGATGAGAGGAAGGGGCCCTCCAGCCTGCCTGGGGTCCCCCACACAGATCCTGGTGGCACTGGTAACCCACTCCCTCCCAGCCCAGACACTGGGCTCAGGCAGGATCCACCTCCCTTGGAGAAATAAGCCAGCCGCACAGAGCAAAGCAGAACATGGTAGTCTGGCAGTGTTCCAGAAGGAGGTGATCCACATGGGGCTGGGGTGGGCACAAGGGCAGGCAGCACCCGCTGGAAGGTGAACGTGAGGGTGTCTTTGGCCCTTGCTGCCCCTCACTGTCCTGGCCAACCCAGAGCCTGTGGTAGGGCATCTCTTTAGGAAAAGGAGTGGGTTAGGGGAAGACTTCCCTCAACTGTCTGTGGTCCCCCTCCTCACCGGTGGCCCCTCACTCTCCTTTCTCCTGGTGGTCTTCCATCTTCTCTCCTCCATCTCTTCCCATTTCCTAGCTTTCTGCCCGGTCCTAGACACTGGTCCAGAGGGGGAGGGAACCAGTCAGTGTTGCAGAGGCACCCTGCTCCTCACAGGTGAGGGCACAGGTGCCAGGGAGGCAGCACCCTCTAGTGACGCCCGTGGGCACAGCTGGGCCACAATCCTGAGAAGGGTCCTGAGGCACTTGCATCTACCCACCCTATCACTACCGCAGGACACGGGCAGGGCAGCCAGGGGTCTCCAGTGCCCCTCCCACTGCCCAGGTTGAGAACAGCTCTAGATACGTTTTTGCAATGTCTGGGCAGCAGGTCCCAAGGCTGCCCAGCAGAGCTGAGAAGGAGTCCTGTCACAGGGTTGGGGGTTCTGGGCACATCTCTGCCTGTCAGGGTTGGCCCTGGGCTTGCCCAGACAGAAATCTCCCTCTGACCAGCAAGAGCTGTGGAGGAATGTGCCAGCTCGGGGATCAGCACCACATTCGTCCCGCCACTTCCTGCCCAGCTGGGCGGCTCCCTCGTTCGCTCAGACACTGTGAGTCTGACCTTCTCAGTACCTCACTTAAGGCTGTACACTCATGGGCCAGTGTCCCATGCACCTCCTGAAGCAGTAACGGTGTCCAACAAGTTGGACCTCCTGCACTATTGTGAGTCCCTGTCATCCCTCCACAGAGTTGCTGTCACAGAACAGCAGCGTCAGGGCAACCTCAGCGACCCATGATGGAGCCATACAGCCAGGCGGCCTCACGTGCTGACTGATATGGCATTTCGTCCTCAAGTCCAGGGATGTCATGGG